GGAGCCGGCCGTGGCCGAGGGGCTGGAGATGCCTGAGAAGAGCTGGAGCCCAGCAGAGACAGGGAGCTGGGATGTCCCCACCCCAGGAGAACCCCACAGCCACCCAGGAGAACCCCATAACCCGCCCAGGGGCACCCCATAACCCACCCAGGGGCACCCCATAACCCACCCAGGGGCACCCCACAACCCACCCAGGGCACCCCAGGGCCCTGCCATCGCTCACCAGCTGCATGAGCAGGGAGATGGAGTCGCGGTTCCTGGCTCGCAGCTTGTCGGTCTCCTGGCCCAGCTGCAGGAGGCTGACGGAGGCCAGCTGAGGGACAGATCTGGATCAGCGTGGGGACAGGGACAACCCCCGAGGGTCCCCACCCCACCTCGGGCAAGCTCTGCCCTCCCCACAAGCCGCTCTCACCAGCAGGAACTCCTTGAGGTGGGTCTCGATGTTCTTGTTGTGGACGGTGAAGAGGGCGGCCGAGACGTGGATGATGGCCTTGGCCAGGCAGTGGATGTTGTTGTTGTAGCCTGGGGACAACGGGGAGGTTGGGGACAATGGGGAGGTTGGGGACAACGGGGAGATTGGGGACAATGGGGAGGTTGGGGACAGAGGTAGTAGCTTGGGGACATGGGTAGGTTGGGGACATGGGGAGAAGGTTGAGGACATGGGTAGGTTGGGGACATGGGTAGGTTGGAGACATGGGGAGAAGGTTGAGGACATGGGTAGGTTGGGGACATGGGTAGGTTGGAGACAGAGGTAGGTTGGAGACATGGGGAGAAGGTTGCGGACATGGGTAGGTTGGAGACAGAGGTAGAAGGTTTGGGACATGGGTAGAAGGTTGGGGACATGGGTAGAAGGTTGGGGACACGGGTAGGTTGGGGACACGGGTAGGTTTGGGACACGGGTAGAAGGTTGGGGACATGGGTAGAAGGTTGGGGACATGGGTAGAAGGTTGGGGACAGAGGTAGATTGGGGACAGAGGTAGAAGGTTGGGGACATGGGTAGGTTGAGGACACAGGTAGTAGGTTGGGGACAGGGATAGGTTGAGGACAGAGGTAGGTTGGGGACACGGGTAGGTTTGGGACATGGGTAGTAGGTTTGGGACACAGGTAGTAGGTTGGGGACACAGGTAGGTTGGGGACAGGGGTAGGTTTGGGACATGGGCAGATTGGGGACATGGGCAGATTGGGGACAGAGGTAGAAAGTTGGGGACATGGGTAGGTTGGGGACAGAGGTAGGTTGGGGACATGGGTAGAAGGTTGGGGACATGGGTAGGTTGGAGACATGGGTAGGTTGGAGACATGGGTAGGTTGGGGACAGAGGTACGTTGGGGACAGAGGTAGAAGGTTGGGGACAGAGGTAGGTTTGGGACATGGGTAGAAGGTTGGGGACATGGGTAGGTTGGGGACATGGGTAGGTTGGGGACAGAGGTAGGTTGGGGACATGGGTAGAAGGTTGGGGACATGGGTAGGTTGGAGACATGGGGAGAAGGTTGAGGACATGGGTAGGTTGGGGACATGGGTAGGTTGGGGACAGAGGTAGGTTGGGGACATGGGTAGAAGGTTGGGGACATGGGTAGGTTGGAGACATGGGGAGAAGGTTGAGGACATGGGTAGGTTGGGGACATGGGTAGGTTGGGGACAGAGGTAGGTTGGGGACAGAGGTAGGGTGGGGACATGGGTAGAAGGGTGGGGACACGGGTAGG